ACCTCATTCCATTACACCTTTCTTTGTTACAATTCCGCAAATGTGTTTATTTCCCTCCTTCTCTCTTGTCGCCGTTGACGTGTCACGAACTACCCAAGCCTTCCTTCATTCACCTCGACCCTGGCGTAACGGAGGGAACGGACAGAGGAAAAGACCAAGTCAAGACCAAGTCAAGACCAAGTCAAGACCGTTGCGCAGGGGGCCAATGGCACCCGGCAACGGGACCAGTGGAGTGGAGGTCGCCACAGCTCCACGGAAGGCCTGCGAGCTGCACTGTGACACCTCCTCCCACCGAGAGGCCTACAGTGGACAGAGTGACACAACATCATAGAATCAGCATTGAGCGGGCGCCGTCACAGTGTCATTCGAGCCTGGCCGACGGGCGCTAGTGGGCCGACTGCCTCATCCATCGACGCGCTATCGCTGCCCGCCCGCCTTTTCCCCATCCGATGCTCTACTCCCTTTTGCCTGCCTTCCTGCCAACACGCACACACAACCATTCGCCTATCGTCCTCGTCGTCACTCCTCCAACCGCGTGCCGTCTGCACAGTACAGCACGTCGATGCGAGTCAGAGTACCCTTGGCTTTGGCTGGTATCACCATGTGGCCTTTTTACGTCCAAGACAGACAGACGACAGACAGACGACAGACAGACGCCATCCTGCTGACGGTCCTTGTCAGCTGCTGCGTCGAATTGAGGCATCATCGCAGGCGTGGACTGCGCTCCATTTTCCACAAAGGCGAGGAACACCGACCACAAATGCCAATGCCTCGAACCGCAAGACACAGTGTGTGTCACGTCGAGACGTCGCACCTCCAGCTGGGCGCGCTCGCTCCTGAACTTTGCTTCTTGCATCGATTCATGTTGCCGCGCCCTTTTTTCCCCGTGTCTGCGAGCTTCTTCTGGTCCTGAACCCGACAATTCGCCAATGGCCAGAAGGTTGCTCCTCTCGTCCTTGATACTTCTGATGGATTGAGACAGCCCCTCAAAATACCAGGCTGGTCTGGCTAGACAGAAACCACGAGGCCGTCGACCTGAAGAAGTTCATCCGCTTTGTTCTACAGTACACCGGGGATACAACCATGGCTACTGCACGTGATCGCCCGCCCCTCCTTTCCGTGGGCTGTGTGTGTGTGTGTGTGTGTGTGGCGAGGCCCTCTTTTGGCTCCTCGGGACTCTCTCAGCCCGTTTGGATTGGGACCGTCGCTGCTGACTTTGTTGGGAATGTTTAGTGCATGGCCATGCTGTACAGTACAACAACTGGAGACCCTGCTCTCCCACACGACGATTGTTTAAATCTGCCTCTCAAGACTTCGACGGCAGAGGCAGCAATACGTTTGCCACGACGATCGAGGCGGCTCGTCATCAGTATCCAAGACGGCCTTCAGTGGCTGGCGAAGAAACAGATCACTCAGCACGGCGCCCAGCGGCTAAACTAGCCCCCCCCCCTTGTCCTGTTTCCCGCCAGACGCACGCCGCCGCTGTTCGACCACACCCTAGAATGGCGCCATGCAGGTTGTCATGCGATGGCGATGGGAGGGACGGAGGCATGGCGTGCCTCGCGCGGGCTTTCAATATGACCCGCGAATGCTGCAGGGCACGTCAAGCACCTTTGATCAACGACGTGGAGAGGCCCGTCTGCCCTGCGCCGACGGCGGAGAGAGATGATTCTCATTCTCCAGCCGCTCACTCGCGCTGCGCAGAGTATCCCAGACAATCCCATCCCTGGCGTCTCAAACGGCCATGCTCACGGGCTCACACGGTCGCCGCTTGCCGCTCCCGAGTCAGACGATGAAGTCACTGCGACGGTATCAATGGGACCCCAAGACCCCTCTCTCCAGCATTCGGGTCGATCCACCCCGGCCTTCGGTTCAGAGGGCGCTGTGGGCCTTGCTCTAGAGTGCCTGCTTGCCTGCATGGCGTTATTGGTGCCCAGGGAACGCCAGTCATTGGGGCGCTGCAGGGCTGGTCTGGGCGAGTGTCCAGGTCTCGGGGTGACTGACGAGCGGGCGATTGATTGTTCTGGTTCTGGTTTGGGGAAGGGCCCGTGGTGATCAGGCTAACGCTGACGAAGATGGCTCAGGGACAAGGGCGATACGTGCCATGAGGGTGATGGAACGAGTTCGACGGCGAAGAACAGGTTCAGGTTCAGCACGCTGGCGATGCTTCCGACCGCACCGCCCGACTGTGCAGGATAACAAGTACAGTACACCAAGGGCTACATGTAGCGAATCGAGCGCCGGGTGGGACTGTGAATTCCGCAGCAACCAAGTGCAAAGCACTGACGCGCGAGTTGGTGATCCAATGGCACCAGGCCGCTTCCATCACTTGGTCGGCCCGTCACCAAATCAAGACGTCTGCGGACACGTTTCTGTCACCAGCACACTTGAGAAGAGACATGTGCAATGGGGTGGCCAAACGGTGACTTTCGAGGCAAGTCGTTCGCTTTCGCCTTTCGTCTTTGGACATTCGACTTTTGCCCAGAGAACCGGCTTGCCCTGCCCTGCCTGCTTGTCACTTTCGCAGTCGTGTTTCACCCTGGAGATACAGGCGGCTGATCATTTCCACCTTGCACCCGGACGTCCACTGCAAGAATCGCCCGCTGGCCCTTTCTGCCGGGCCATGATGACATGTGGCCCACCAGCCTGGTCCTGGTCTTCACTGAGTGTCGCGTCGGTGCATTCAATGTGTCGTCGAGACTTTACTGTTCAGGCCCGAGATGCCCCCCCTTACCCCCTTCTTAATCCTACCTACCTACATAGTAGCTGGGGTGGCAAGCCCCCGCTCCCCTTCGCCCTCGTCACGCACGCCCAGCGGGGTCCAGCGCACTCAACGTGAATCACGAAAGCCTGTGGGACGAGATCTCAACACGAGACGGCCCGCTGCGTCAGCCACGACTGTCCCTCGACGCTGCTGGGACGAGTCGACCGTACTGTGTCGAGGAAGTGGGCTGAACAAGCACAGGTACAGACCTAGAACGCGCTTGCTCGCACCATCTCTGTAGGTTCAAACTCGGGCCCCTTCAATAAGAATTTGAACAGGTGCGACGAAAGGACCAGCATCCCGGGGCCTGATAAAGTGCGTCGCGGAAGACTCATAGACCACGATGCATTTTTCGTCACCATTCCAGTCTTAATTGACCAGCGGTACAAAAATGCGAACACCCAAGCACCGTCAAGGCGAGGATTCACTGGCCGGCTGCGTCGTTGGGCACGAAAGCAGCGGTGCCTGGGCCTAACAATGATGAGGAGCGTCGGCGCAGTTCAACCCCGCATAGGTGCGCTCGGCCCAGTGGCAAGCACAAAACTTGTCAGCCTTGCTTCGCCCGGATGCGAGGTCGCATGTTGCAGGATGCAGCCTCCAGGACCAGTGATTTGCCAGGCATTGAATTGCGCGAGGCTGTGGAGCAGACCACGGCACTCAATCAGCGGGCCTTCACAGCAAGGGAAAGGAGGCCAACGAGGCCCGCTGCATTTGTTTCCTCTATCATCCCGGTACTTGCCAGTGAAAAAGGCGTCCTTCGTCCCGGTTCTTGTCACAAAAAAGCGTCCTCTATTATCCCGGTTCGGTCAGAGAAAGCGTCCTTTATCCCGGTTCGGTCAGAAAATGCGCGTGAAACAAGGTCAAAACCCCAGTGTCTGAGCTCGCTCACTGACAGTCCACGTCTACGACAACACCAAACGCCTCGAGCATGCACCCCTTTTGTGTGCTCTATTGACGAGCCCACCCTAGATGCCCCTGTTGAACGTCACCATGCCGTCGACGCCGCCGCGTCCGTGGAACTCGGGCTCGAGGCTGTCGTCGGAGACCTTTTCCATCTGCGGGAAGACGGCCAGCGCGAGCGGCAGCACGGCGAAGCTCGTGCCGAGGATGAGGGCGAGGTTCAGCGGCACGGTCATGCGCGGGCGCTGCTGCAGCCAGCGGGTGCGCTGCAGGCGGACGAGGAGCAGCGGCGGCAGGACCATGATGGGGGTCGAGTTGACGACGCGGCTGACGGCCGTCTCGCCGACGGCGATGCGCGCGGCGGCCCTGCTGCGGCCGAGGCTCTCCTCCTGGCGGCCGTCGCGGCGCAGGGCGTCGCGCTGGGCCGCCGACAGCAGCGGGTAGACGTCGATGCCCCTGCGCATCTCCTCGCCGCGCATCAGCAGCACGTTGAGGGCGCCGGCCGTGGCGACGGCGGCGAACGGCACGAGGCGCGTCAGCGTCGTGCGCGTCGCCGGCGTCAGGTTGCGCAGCCGCGGCACCAGGTTGTTCAGGCCCACGGCCACGCCGCACGACACGGACACGGCGGCGAGGTACGACTGGCCCATCTTGGTCCACGACAGCGGCGACGACTTGTTGGCGTTGGCCGAGTTGATGGCCACGTTCAGCGACTGGTTGACGACCTGCCAGGCGATGGTGCCGCCGTTCTTGGGGGGGGAGAAGAAGTCAGCTACGTTTTGACGTGATGACGGGATAGTATGCTCTGCTTACACCGAGACCGGGCTGGAGCATGCCCGCCGTGACGATCAGGTTGGAGAGGACGAAAGATGACATGCGAAAGGGCAGGAAGACGGCCTCGCCCGTGTCTAGAGAGTGTCTCCGTGTCAGCGACCATGGTCTCGCAGCGCGGGGCGGCGGTCCCTCGTACCCGGGTGCAGCGTCGAGTCGACAATCTTCTTGGCCTGCCACAGCTCGGGCGTCATGTGCTGGATCTTGCCCTCCTTGTAGTCGGTCAGGAGCGCCTTGGCGCGGTCGAGGCCCGCCTTGTTGACGAGCAGTGTGCTGTGAGGGCGCCCGTTTTTTTGTTGTTGGGGGAGGAAAAAAAATTCCCCCGTTTTTATTCCCGCTCTGGTAGGTTGCCATTCTAATTGCGATTGTGAGAGGGGGGGGTGGTCCCCAAAATTTTTTTTCCTTTAAATCCTTCAAGGCTCCAACG